CTTCATGACCTCCTGAGGTCTCTTCCAGCTCTATGATTCTATGTGGGTTGTACCCACAAAAGCTCATGTTACCATCTACATGTTTTGTGAGTCTCTAAGGTGCTGCTAGACTATTTGTCGTTTAAGTTTTTCCAGGCACAGACTAACATAGGTTCCCCTGCAAAGCTTTGGAATCCAGTGGAAGTGTTAGAAATGGTGAAGGCATTAACTAGTATTTGAAATCCACCTTGGGGCTGACAGAGGGCACAGCCTTTTTGGGGAATATCGGGATGGCAATAACTATCCAAATGCCATTCATCTGAAGAAGTTGGTTGAGCCCACGAAAGCCATCTACGTGTTTTGTTAGTCTTTAAGGTGCTGCTAGACTATTTGTTGTTTACAATTTTCCAGTAACAGATGAACTTGGCTACCCTGCTGAAGCTATCCAAATGCTGTTAACATATGGGTGGTTGGTGGAGTCAAATTAGTCTCCAAATGAGAGTTGGTTTCAATAAGACTGGCAATTACTTAAGAAAATCAGAAGCTTCAGGGGGTAGCCAAGTTAGTCTGTACAGGATAAACTTAAAAAACAACAAATGGCCTGGTAGCACTTTATAGCCTAACAAGCCATGTAGATGGTATCATGAGCTTTGGTGGGGACAGCCCACTTGTTCAGATGACCAGAGCGCTGGCGTGGAATTAAGGGCAAATCAGAGGAATCCCAACATGAACCGCACTTTGCACAAGTTTCCGTCCTTTCAGCCACTGAGTTGGAGTCAGTGCTTCCCTTTAGCCCGGAGATGGGCTGGGGCTTAGCTGCTGTCAGGGGAGGACTCCACAAAGGCAGCGGGGCAGTGCTGTCAAATCTCAGCCCCCCCGGTTCCTCCTAGTGTGTGTGTGGGGTCCAGGACCCACAGCTGCATAGAGCTGAATCCTTCTGCCCTTCAGGGCCGCCCGGCCCTTCTCCCCTATCAGGGGAGGCCCGGCCGAGCACCTTCTCTCGGGAGCCGCCCCCCGCCCGCTGGGGCCGCGCGCCCTGCTGCCCGGCGGAGGGAGG